ACATTCTTAAGCTTGCTTTGCTGGAAGTTTTCATATGAAATCTCACTTTGAAATTTTAAAAGCCTATTAAGGCTAGGAAGCCAAGATAAGAAGATTTTACCTGCAGTACGTATAAATTTGGGAGAATTCTTCTCTTCTTGGGGTCCACAAAATATCCTCAAGTTCCAGGGCCTGCCGGGAAGTAACCTTCCTTACTCACTTGTAAGGCTGGGAACCATGTAAGCCAGGTACCTGGCCAGTTTTCCCAAGAGCGCTTTGTATGCATTGGCTCAATAAAGTCAACCTTATTTCCTTAAAAGTGTCTAATCGTATCTGATTCAATGAGCATCATCACAAATATGACATTCCAGGCAAGGCCTTGATTACATAACCAATGTTTCTAATCACTTCCTGATAACAAGTAGAACAGACAGATTCTTATTGAACCTATGCAGATAATTATATTGCTATGAAATAAGAATACTTCATAAGAGTTTCTGAATCCTGTAGAGCTCAGGCAGGGGGAATAAGATATCATTTATGAATGTTTTATTTCTGTTTACAAAGGCATGGTTTACTAAATTATTATGAGTTATAGATATATATCCAGAAAATAGAACATTAAAACATCAGCAATATTCTAAACAAAACCCACAATCATCCCTCATCAGTTCATTCAGGTCTATGTAATTAGTTCTTGTCCCACTCAGCCTTGCATTAGCAGTCTCATTAACCCATCTGCTTCTCGACTACAGTTCTTAATCCTGACTCAGTTCAGTGGTGTGGTCTCAAAGTTGTTTAAACTATACCATCAGAAGCCTGTACCCCACAGTACTTGGCGTAATCCTTTTCCATGGGGCTCTGAAAGAGTCTTTCTTTGTTCAAGATGAAGCACTCTAGCTTGTTCTTGATTGCAAGTGCTTTCAGGGACACATCAGATTAAAACAATAAAAACTATCTGTAGATGGCAAAAGACTTACAATAGCTGTGGTTAACTTGCTACTGATTATTTTCAAAAGAAAGATCTGATGAGAGTTTATTATGAGCATAATAATTCAGCTGACAAAGACATGTGGTTATTTCTGTGGCATGCAAAACAAGATAAAAATCAATCCAAAGAAAGTTTTTAGACAAAATATCCATAAACATAATGATTAACCCTATTTTCAAAGAAGAGAGGGTATTATATCTAATTTATTAAAATAGATGAACATAATCTTTATAGAGACCAAAATCCTCAAAAATAGCCTAATAATCTTTATATAATATACTATGAGTATACCAAGCATATATTTAGAATATACCCAGAAGATATCAAGAATATCTAGTAAAGAGATACAGTAAACTGGAGTAGGTCGCAAACATCTATATGTTAATAAAATTCCATAGGTAAGTGATGTGAATCCCCAGTTGAAAACTAATGACTTAGCAGATGCTAGATTCAAAATAAAGAAGCAAAGTTGAGACCAAGTTAACATTTTAAAAATTTAAAAATTATGACTGAAAACACTGTGCTGTGGCTGTCTAATATCTGGCAAAGCAGCACCAGGACTCACAAACAGAAACATATCATGGCCAGCATGGCATTGATGAATCTCTAGGAACTTCGTATACAGCATGCAATTTCTGAAATATTTATATTAACGTTTTGCCTATACCAATTTAACCTAGAGGAGGCTGAGCACCTCTTCTGATTTGGCAAGTCTTCCCATGCGCCTCAGCAGTAGTAATATATCAATTAAACCTAATTATTTCTAGCACCTCTCTTTTTATAAGGTGAAAGAACAAATGCTTCGTGATTTTCCAGGGGCCATCTGGGACTCAATTAAAATAGGATGGTGGATTACTGAAAAACAATACTTGGTTCTCTATTTCACCAAAATGACAATAAAAGATTTTAAAAGTAAACATAAGAGGTAATATGATTGTAAAGAATCTCATCTCTTTCCTAAGTGAGAAAACTTTGCTTTCTTAAATAATCGAAGACATAATAAAGTCAACATAAACCACAGAAGGTTATTCTGGTAAAACACAGAATCTTTGTTATTGAGAAAGATTATTTAAATGGTAAAGCAAAACCTTTACAACTTGTTATTAAGAGAAGACCAATAATCAAAAAAACTTGTCATTTTAACAGAGAGCCAAATTCTAGTTTTACATCAGTATAATATTTGATACAAGAGTTCTTTTTGGAAATCTTACAAATAAGCCCATCAAACCTTAGCCAACTTTGACCTCAACAAATAAAATTCCTTTTCTGTGAACCTTCTACCACTTTCTATATCCATACACATCCCTTATAGTACAACTTCTCTAAGTGGCAAAAAAGAACATGTTCATTAACAGACCCAAATACATTGGCCTCTCTGTAGCATGTAAAAATAAGCAAAAACATGTAAACCCAAAATTATGCTTAGTAATGAATGCATTCTCTAACTTAGAAATGATCTAGGTATCTAATGAATATCCATTAATTAATTCAATTTAGTATTAGCCTAAAGTTTTCAGTTACCTAAAGATCTTGTAAATTATCTTCAAACTGACATACAAAACATAATTACTGTTGAAATAAAGTTTGTCAAAATGATGGCTCAGTTTGGTTAAACAAATTTACATTTGTCATAATCTCAAACATTTGGTAGAAGTAATGTTAGCTCATTCAATCAGTAAACCTGTATAAATTTAGGAAGAATATGCCTAAGTAGAATAAAAATCTAGATGTATGTTATACTTAAAACTGATAAAATAGAAAAGACATAGTTGTTTCTAATAAACAAAAGTTATTAAATTAGTCTTGTTTGCCAAAGATTTACCTAAGTTATGCAAACTTGAATTCTTAAAACATTTGAGTTTGTTTTTATAGGAATACTTTTTTAGCACATTACAAGTCTTGAAAGTTCAATTTTCTGGGAATTTTAGGAATATTCTATTTATCTAAGCACTTATTTATTTCTATGAACCAATGAGAAGAGAGCTCCTTTAATTTAGGAAAATATTACATAGTCACAAAGGCCTTTCTGAATTACAGACATTATTATTATTATTATTACTATTACTATTATTATTATTCAGGCTATTACCATAGGGAGAATGTCCATTAATGAGAAACATCTCAAAGAAAAGGAAGGGTGGCCAGGAATTTCAATTTTAGTATATGTGCTGCCGAAGCGAGCACTGGCCAGGAGTTTTATAGAGGCAGGTAAACAAGGAAGTCATCTGCAAATCTTATGGGAGTCATGAGGAAGCATGAAGATGGTTCTTTCCTTGGAATATGCCAGGGCAGTGTTGTCCTTTGTGGTTAACCATTTCTTGGAACACAAAAGGACAGGGGGTTTCTTAACCATCGCTGATTTCTAGAAGCATGGGGCTCAGATAAAGTTTAATCATCAATGAGATGACTCTGCTTTGTCAATTTTGTATATAGAATTTCTCTGTATTCTCCTTTATATGCCATATTATTTCTGCTTGCCTTTTTGGTTTGTTTTTTGGTTTTGTTTTTCTGTGCATATGACTTGTCTCCCTAACTTAATTGTAGGCTCTCCCAGGGAAGGAAGTACATCTTGTAGTGCTTTGTATTTCTCCTCCTCCCCATCTTCGTCCTCTTTTTGGCTAACACTTAATGTTCCATCCCACCTACCCAAAAGTTATTGATATTCAGTAGAAACACAGATTATCTCTTTTTTCTTGTGCTAAGACAGTAGACTTATAAAATGTAAGCTTTTCATAATTGTAAAATAGCATCCAAGAGCTTTCAAAGTCCATATTTAACTCTTATTTACAGAGAATTCATGGATGGACAAATCTTTTTCTGTAGTTGTTTTTTTCCTGGTGGCATACCTAAGACCAAGCTATTCTTTTGCTAGCACCTTCATAAGCAAAGTCAATGTCTAGTGATATTTTTACCAACTTCCTGCTCGCCAGTGTACCTGTCTCATTGATTCAGCCTGTGAACCAGGGCATTGTTCAGAATATAAAACGTGATTATGGAAGATATTTCATGAAGAAGTTTATGCCTTGTGTAGGCACTAGAAAGATCTTACAATCTTATGATAGCAAAGATGCTATTTTAAATGATGCTCATGCAATGCCAGAATTCTGTTTCAAGTAAAATATCAGGGAGAACTTAGAAAAAAAATGGGCTGGATGTTTGAAGTGTCTGTGTAAGCAAAAGAAACTGAAGCATTTAGAATGAGGCCTTTAAAATAAATTACAATACACTTTTGATGATAAAGGATGTTCTTTTAGATCTGCTCAACACCGCTTATTGGAAATGTAATAAAAGAGTAGGTTAATGTTGGCAAGAGGTTAAAGTGACACAGTTATCATCAATAGCAAAAAAGTTAAAGGACATTAGTGAAGTCAATGAAGACAATTTTAGTGAAGGAAACAAAATAACTTCAGAAGAGGCTGCTTCAATCTCCACTGTAATAATTACATGTACAGAAATGCAACCACATTATGCTGCCCAGGAGGTTATGCGTTTGTACTTTCTACACGCAGCTTTTATGAGCAACAAGTGCCAAGACTTACTCAAAAAAAAAAACTTCTAAGTTATGTCATAGGGTCAGTACAGAGAATCCAAGCTCTAACATCTTCTACATCTGGCTAAGCAAGATTGTCTTTAAGGCCCCTTCTAGATTCTAGCTTACTTAAAGTCCTGTAAGTGATAATCAGTGTTCATCATGATGACCCCGGGGTCCTACAAATTTTTTTAAATGTTTCCTGAATCATTAGAGAAAGGTTCAGTTTTGTTCAATATAGTTATAATATTCTAATTCTTTGAAAATCTGGGATCCTGAATGGAAAATGTTACCAATCGACTTGAATATTTACTTGATCAAAACACTTCATTCCCTGATCATTCTGGGCCATTTACTATATAATCTTTGTAGGTAGATTTTTGTTTTTCTTAAAAGAAGAGGGAATTGTAAGAGAAGAGATCTCAAGGGTTAGATCCTTGGCTGTAAAGACTCCCTTGGATTGCTTTTGGCTGTTGGCTGTAGCAACTTGTTTTTTTGCAGAGATGAAGCATCTGGTTTTTGTTATCTCAATGATGCTGTCCTGGGAATATTACAATTGCGACGGAAATTTGACCGTATCCTCTATGTGGATTTGGATCTGCACCATGGAGATGGTAAGCCCTTCATTTTCAAAGGTGCTTCGCTGCTAGGACAGCAGATTTTTATCACTAAAGCTGCTTCTAGGCAATTGGTAAGAGGAGAAATGCCTGTTGCCATTGAAATTTTCCTAATTGAGAATCCTAAAGTAGGTAGAGTAGAGATTCTTCTAATTGATGCAATTCCTCCTTTGCTGACCAAGCCATTTTAAAATGCCAGGTTCTGGGGGCTGGGCCAGTGGCGTAGTGGTTAAGTTTGTGTGATCCACTTCGGCATCCCGGGGTTCACCCGGATCCCAGGCACGGACCTACACACTGCTCATCAAGCCATGCTGTGGTGGCATCCCACATACAAAATAGAGGAAGATTGGCACAAATGTTAGCTCAGTGACAATCTTCCTTACCAAAAAAAAAATATATATATATATATATATCAAGTTCCTATAATTTCTCCTCCCCTCTCCTCCAGTAGTAGAGCTCTCCAGTTAGAGAATCTTAAAAAGTAGAAATTTTACCTAGTGTTTACTCCAGTGCTCAGTAACCTCCCTCAGGCCACTTCCATAGGTTCTAAGTGAAATCTGCAATTAGAGCTGGCAGTTTGGATGCTTCTCTCAAGATAGAATGGGTGCATGATGGACTAACATTCTGAATTTTTCACCAGTAGGGATACCAACTCATGTAGCAATCAGAATCTGTGCCACTTCTTTTATATTACTAAAATATTTAGTCCTGCACAAATCCAGGACATCTTCTCTGACTTTTAATAGCAGCAGAATCTTTAACAATTTGCCTTAACCCCATTAATCCCCTCTTAGAAGACTTCACTGAAAGGATGTATTCGGCCCTCCTATGTACTTTCCATCTAGAACGTAGAGCTTCAGTGACAGTACGCACATTGTTTCTTACTAAATCCTGTATGTGACACATATTTCCATTAATCTAGGAACACTTATCGAGTAAAATTAGTTGAGGATATTCCCTCCCCTCCCCCACATCAGCGATTGCTGCTTCCCTGTTTCCAGGGATTTTTGGAGACTGACTAACATAATCAAGGCATAAGAGGGGAAAAGAATAGTATATGATAGAGGCTAGGGTCAGCTCTGCTGCCAAAACAGAAAAAGAAGGAAGAAGTTGTGGGGGAAACCTCCCCAGGGAGTTCACCTACATGGATGCTACCATGGAATGGTGACAGAAAATTAAAGGTAGTAGAGAGAATAGAAAAGGGTTAAAACAACCAACATACTACTTTGAGAACCATGTCCACTGAATATCAGAATACTTAGCCAATGCAAAACACCACCTTGCTCAAAAACATTCATAGGTTCCTTATTGCCTATAACAAGGGTAACATTTGGCCCACAGCTTATTTTTGTATGGCCAGTGAACTAAGAAAGATTTTTACATTTTTACAAGGTTGTAAAGAAAAAAAATGCAATAGAGACCATGTAGTTTGCAAAGCCTAAAATATTTACTATGTAGCCACTTGGTTTGCTAACCCTTGGCCTATAGCAATGGTTCTCAAACTTATATATGTATCATGATAACCTGGGGAAGCTTGTTTTAAAATGCAGATTCGTGAGCCGCATCCACCAGATATTCAGATTTAGTAGGTCTGGTGTGGAACCTGGTAATCTACGTGTTAACAACACCCCGGTTGTTGCATAGGCCACACTTTGAAAAACAGTGGTCTTCAAGGTAAAGTCCACACTCTACCCTGTCTTTTGAGGTTTACTTCAGAGGCCTCACCTCTCTCCAGCCATCTCTCTCACTACTTGCTGTCCAGGCTACTCTACTCAGTGATCCCCAGACATGTCTCACTGTTCCCACCTCCCCGACTTTGCCTCACTTTTCCCTAACTTAGTTTTGCTTTCTCCTCACCTTTTGCTTCTCCAAGTTCTACCCAGGAGTTTATGTTCAAACAGTAGCAGATTTGCCCTGAGCACTCCAGCCCAAGTGTTCTCTCTCTCTGCTCAAGTCCTGTATTATTTATATCACTGACTTTGATATTTAAGTATATATTGTCTTGTATTGTTAGTAACTTCTTTAATGTGCCTATGTCTTCCTCTCCCATACAACATTTCAGTTCCTCCAGAGCAGAGATCAAGTTGTTTACTTCTTTCTGTCCTGCACAATGGCTTGAACAAACGGAACTATGCATATAGTAGTGGTTCAGTAAAATATTTGTTGAATGAATGAATGATTATGAAATTCAAACTATTAGTATCAGAGTGCAAGAATAGAATCAACTCTGTTGAACCACATAAGAATGAAATAAGACTGTCACCTGAAACCATTCTTTCCATTTGCAATGTTATTTCTATACCATTTAGAGTTTCCTGTTTTAGGCAACTTTTATGGTGTGTTTCATTTCAGTTTATTTCCCCTCTTCAGCACCTCCCTTCCAGTGACCCCTGCCCCACCTCCAAACTCTTACACATTTGGTTTATTTTAAATCTCCCATGCTTCCATAACTAGTATCCTGTGGTGGCTTCACTAGCGTTCCTACCCTATCCTCACCTTCTTGCGTCTACCTAACCACACTTCTCTTTCACACCAAGCCCTATACCCTCCACCTATCTAACTATGTCCTTTTTTTTCTTTTTTGTGAGGAAGATCAGCCCTGAGCTAACATCCATGCTAATCCTCCTCTTTTTGCTGAGGAAGACCAGCTCTGAGCTAACATCTATTGCTAATCCTCCTCCTTTTTTTCCCCCCAAAGCCCCAGTAGATAGTTGTATGTCATAGTTGCACATCCTGCTAGTTGCTGTATGTGGGACGCGGCCTCAGCATGGCCGGAGAAGCAGTGCGTCGGTGCGCGCCCGGGATCCGAACCCAGGCCGCCAGCAGCAGAGCGCGCACACTTAACCGCTAAGCCACGGGGCCGGCCCTAACTATGTCCTTTTTTAAAGTACGATTTTCTAACAATGCCTAATGGAATTTCCAATGAGAAGAGATACAAATGACTACTAGACATATGAAAAGGTGCTCAATACCCTAATATTCAGAGAAATGCAAATTAGAACAAGAGCATTCTCTCTGCCTAAGGTTAAATACAATAATAATCCATGCTAGTCAGGGTATGAGAAACTGGGAAGTCTCATACACCATTTATAGAAGTGTAAATTGGTACCACCTTTCTGGATGGATAAATAATCAGGATTTTCATGAATTATCCTTGTTTATACTTCAGTTTCTAAGTTAAAATGCTCTTTTTATTTATTTTGTTTTATTTTAATTTGTTTACTTAGTGCTTTGTGCCTGAAGCCTTTAACTGGTTTTAACTGCCTCCCTAGGGCAAAACATAAGGCTTGGGAAATTCAGACATACCTGTGATATACAAATAGAGTTAAGATTTTTTTAAGGTCTCTGTTGGCCTCTAATGAAGACTGAAAGCATTAAGTAAACAGAGACAGCTTTTTTATTTGAAGTATGAAAGAGGATAGTACATGATTTTGCTAGTAGTCCTTCCATTTTATAGATGGGTCATCTGAGTGTAGTATGATAATGTGTGATTCTGGGAGGAAAGGTGTGGAAGTGGGCACTGTGTTTTTCTGAATAAGTGTTATGTACGTAAGCAGCTGATAAGTGTTACATCTTCTATCTCCCAGGCCTCTATTCATTTTCTGACTCTGTTTAAATGGAAAGGAGACTCCTTTCTAGAAAAGTTTTTCCCCCATCTGTCTCCAGGCTTTAAAACTCTTATAAAGCTTCTATTAAGGGACAAGGCCAGGGCTACTTTCAACCTTCCGTGTTTTAGCCAGAAAGATGTACTATAAGCTACTTACTACACACGGGACTTTGGGTGAACTACGTTTATAACCAAATCTATATCATAGAGAAGCAGTTTATAATTAGATTTTCAGTATATAATGCCTAATGTTTGTATTGGTCATGTTTTTCAAAGGGTTGCCACATTATACTTCTTTGAGAAAAAATCCCAAGAGTTTAACTAGAACCACTGAAACAAAACAGAACATACAACTTCCAGGATGGTGCCAGTTTCCTCTATTCAGCTCTGTTGATAATGCCTTAATTCTGAGAATGAGCCCTTCCCCGCCTTTTAGAACAGGTTGTCAAAGAGAGCCTAGACATCCTATTGCTTGGAAAGGGGAAACCCAGTTATAATTTGCCATGAATTTGAAAAGGAACCCCAAAACTTCACTTGGGGCCAAAGTTCTACTTCAACCTATAATCACAGAGAACAAAGACCAGAGGGTTCTGTTACTTTTATTCCTCGGCTTGTTAGCTTTATTATTGCTACCTTCTCATCTCTCTTCCTTCCCACAGCTGCTTTCTAGAGTTTCAGTTGTTGAAAACAAGAGTTGCATATATGAAGTGATTCTTCTGCTGTTTCTTTCTCTGGTAGGTGTAGAAGATGCCTTCAGTTTCACCTCCAAAGTCATGACAGTGTCTCTGCACAAATTCTCCCCGGGATTTTTTCCAGGCAAGTGATCTGTATGCTCAGTATTACATTTGAGAAATAAATATTGCAGTTCTTCTAGACATTTCTTATATCTTATATTTGGATAGTTCCATGCTGTTAATACCTTATTGGTGCTACTCTATGCAAAATTTTAACACAGGTCATTTCAGGGGACAATGATAAGAAGAATGTAATAGTGGTTTTTTTCCAGATGATTTTTATGGACTGTCAACATACAGCTCATTTACACTTACTGTACTGTCAGATACCCTGTGTAACTCCTAACATCCTGATAATTGCACTGATAGATTACTATTATGTCAATCTAAGACGTATGAAAAGCCAAACAAAGGAGTTAATCTCTTCTTTTTTCTTTTGATCCAGCAAAATGGAAACTAAGATTTTTCCATTTTCTTATGGTTTTCCTGCTTCCCCAACATTGTTTACAGCAGTTACTTCTCCATATTATTTTTCTTAATTTAATTCCCTTAGAAACCATCACTAATTCAAGATTGTTTTCCTAATTGACCTTTTGGTCTTCTGAATTCCTATCAGAGAATCCTTCAAGTTTTCTAATTCTCATGTTCTTAAGACTGTTTATAGTCTTCCTCTCTTTTACAGGAACAGGTGATGTGTCTGATGTTGGCCTAGGGAAGGGACGGTACTACAGTGTAAATGTGCCCATTCAGGATGGCATACAGGATGAGAAGTATTACCACATCTGTGAAAGGTATGGCAGTAATGCTGAGCCAGTAACAAGTGGATCACATTTCTATAGGATGAAATGGCCCCCAATCTCAGAGAATTCTTGTTTTCAAGGAAAAATTTGAAGAAAAAAAGATCTACTGTATACCCACGTAGCTTTTATACACAGCTCATTATGCTTTATTTGATCAGGTAACCATCTCCTATTTGGGAGAGCCGCGTGCTTGGACCAGAGCCACACTCTCAGTTTGATCTTACCTGCTACCCCATATGATTAAGGCTGTCCCAAGAGCAGAGCTTCTAGGCTGTCCTGGGGAATCCCTTGTCTGCTACTTCTTTAGCTAAAATCTGTACGTGTGTGGTTTCATTAGCCTCGGAGGGTCCGTTTTGGTTTTCCATTAAGGAGATCTGCTTCCATTCACGATGTGAATATTAGAGAGTTCTTTATTACAAGTTTTTGAGTTCTATCCGTTGTGTTGAAATTGGAGTCAGAAATCTGTTCTTTTTACACTATGGTTAAGGATTAAATTATGGCTACTTGTAGGCAGACAGTTTGGTGCCAATGTGTAGACCACTGGGGCTGAAAAGCCCTACAGAAGGGGGGCACTAAACTCATATTTGTAAAAATTGAGATCGGTTGGGTACAAATTCACTGCTGACATTGGCAGTAGAGAAAGTGAATCTGACTAGAAGTCAGCAAGTCAACATTCTTATGGTAAGTAATGGGGATGGAGGTGCTTTTGATCCCTCCCCTATTCAGCTCAGATTTCTCCCAACCTCCGGTGGAAACAGGGACTTCCCAAAGGAGCCTGCACTGGCCGTCATCACTGGCAGTTGTATAAACAAAGTAGAAGCATTAAAAAATAAAAACTTTATGCTTCAAAGGTGCCTCTTAGCTCAAGAGATTTGGCAAGCCAAGTCATCATGCAGCAGCTAGCCTCATGATTTTGATCATGTCCCCTGGCTACCTCTGTATTGTCAGACTGAAAAGGCCTTTTTTTCTGGAGCCTGCCATTGATGGTTTTAATTGCCCTTCTTTGTTCCCTTTAGGCTCTATTCTATCCTTCTTGAGATGTGCAGATCAGAGCTGCTTATGTAACTTTACCAATGAAGATGTCCTGTGGTTCTGTGTAAAAGGAGAATTATTTTGTTTTTCTTTTAATCCCCTTCTTGACAGTGCCCAACATTTTGTTGCCCTTTTTTTGCCATAGCAGGAAACTAGGTTGTTCTCTCCAGTGCTCTGTCCACAGGGTTTCCTAGAGCTCTTTCCTGGGTCTTAATTGAAAGGTCAGCACCCATCATCCTGCAAGTGTAGTTTGTGATATCTGGCCCTCTCTAAATGGATTACCTTACACATGCCCCTAGTAAAGCTCATCTGCCAATCATAAAACCTCCTGAGATCTTCCTTTATCCCTCATCAACTTGGCTTTTCACAGCCTGGAAAAGCTGGGTATCATCTGCAGACTTGAGGATTTCCCAGTGCCTACCCCCAAGGAAGTCTACAGCTTACCCTTCTTGAGTCAGATAAACATCTGTTTGTCCCCTCTATTTTCTTTTTTTCTCTCTCTCTAAACCAGTTCCTACTATATGATAAAAAAATATTTTAAATCCCATGGTAATTCATGTTTAAAAATAGCCTTGGTATCAAACATAATTAGAAGCATTTTTAAAGTGAGGTTAGCCCCAAGAAAAGATCCATGGAAGATCACACATGATTTCCCATTACAGAAACCATATTGCCACCCCCACCCCAGTGTATAGGAGACCAGCATTTATTAAAGATTCTTCCAGCTTGCCTGCTAAAGTACCAGACCCTCATCAGTTTACAGTTCCCAGGTCCTCTTTTGCTGGTGGAGCCACGCCAGCAATCCACACAGTGATCATCCAGAATAACAGGTTCCAGGTTTTCATTAGAGGTACAATAATTTTTCCCTTTGATTTCTTTCAGAAGTCAAGTCTGATCAGGGCATTACATGAAGGCACCTCTGATTCTAAGGGTGCCAGGAAGGTCTCCTGACTCAAACATCTCTCCCATCTGTTGGACTAATATCTGAAATTCCTTTCACAGGAAACGTACTTTTATTCTACAATTAGACATAGGCCTTAAAATGGAATTTTGGCACAACCTCTCCTCCTCACCCTCACTCTGCCATAGATATATGGTTTCACAGAGCTTTTCTTGACAGCAGATTTTGAAAGGGTTAGAACATGAGCACCCTGAGTATTCAGAGGAGCAGGAATTGGGTAGTGGAGCAGTAGAGGGAGAGGGGTACAAAAAACAAAACAATCTTGGCACTGGCCCTGTGGCCTAGTGGTTAAGCTCGGCATGCTCCTCTTCGGTGGCCCAGGGTTCGGTTCCCAGGTGTGGACCTACACCACTCGATGGCAGCCATGCTGTGGTGGTGACCCACATACAAAATAGAGGAAGACTGGCACAGATGTTAGCTCAGGGCTAATCTTCCTCAAGCGAAAAAAAAGAGGAAGATTGGCAACAGATGTTAGCTCAGGGTGAATCTTCCTCAAAAAAAAATCTTTGCAAACTAAATAATTTTGAAGAGGGTCAGCCCTGGTAACCATATCACTTAGTCCCAGTCATTATGCTTTTGACTACTTCTAGTTTGTTGCGTGGAACCAGTCTCTTGCACATTTGCCATTATGTCCTCTGACCCATCTGCCTACCCCAAAAGATATGTATGGAATGGCTTACTCATGTAAAAAAGTCATTCAGTGTATCTGCTATCTCCTTTTTATCATTTTGGTTCCATGAGCCCACTGGTTTTCTGGCTCACTCCTTACCTGTGATAAATAAAGGACCTCTTATTGCTGGTTCACTTACAAGATGCTCTAATTTTCATTTGGCTCTCAATTTCTAGTTTGCTCCTGAACTGCCTCTCCCTGTGGGGTTCATGAGTTCTTTTTCTTTTCCTTCCTTCTTTCCTTCCTACCTTCCTTTCTTCTTTCCTTCCTTCCTTCCTACCTTCCTTCCTTCTTTCCTCTTTTTCCTCTGCTATAGCTGTTTTGACTTTGCCAACTAGTCAGGCAGGAACTTAAAGGTTTCATCTTAAGATTGAACATACCCTCTTTATTAAAAAAAAATGGCTGAGGGTTTCTTTTTTTAGTAGACCAGATATGGAATCATTACATGAATGTTTTCAACACCAAAAGACCTTGGGTTCCATTTTATGTAAAAGACAAGTTCACAGTGAGAGCTCCCTAGGTCATTCAATACTAATTTAAAAGGGCAAGGGTCACTGAATCCCAAAAGCTTCCTGTAATTTTCATGGGAGCTACTAGAGTTGGTATTATAAGTAAAGCCCTATTTCAACTATCATAAAGGAAAATCATCATTGTTCTTATAAGCATATCTCCTCCTTCAAATAGAAGCTGTGGACCTAGTATAGAGGTGATAGAGGTATATTATATTCTTGATTTACATAAAGGCCCACCCCCCCTCCTCAGCCACATGCACACATACACGCAAAGTTTGATGGGGGAGGAAGGATGTTTTGCCAAAGGGAGGGTTAGCTAGTTCCCAAGCTATGTCATCTGAAAGAGGAAATACTGCTCTGCCTATGTTTAACCCGTTTGCTTCTCTAATTGTATTTGAACGCAATGTGAGATAGTGTTGGGCCAGAAGGGAGAATACCCCCTTGCCCTTTCCCTTAAGGTTCTTATGGCTGGCCAAATAATTAAAATGGCAGCTTAGCAGGAGAAAATAAAACCAAGTTTAATAACATGTATACGTGGGAGAGACCCAGGAAAAACTGGGTAACTCGCCAAAATGGCAGAGGTTCTCATCTTAAATACTATCTTCAGGTAAAGACAAAGGAGGATGTTGGGGGTGGGGGGTTGGGATTTGAGAGGGGAGGAAGGCAATTCACTTAGAAATGGAAAAACAAATGTTTGAGAATGTGGCCTGAGAGACAGAATTTCAATAAGCTGGGTTTGTTGGTGTCTTTCTTATTTTTTTTATTTAATTTTTTTTTGTGAGGAAGATTAGCCCTGAGCTAATATCTGATGCCAATCCTCCTCTTTTTGCTAAGGAAGATCAGCCCTGGGCTAACATCCATGCCCATCTTCCTCTACTTTATATGGGATGCTGCCACAGCATGGCTTGACAAGTGATGCGTCGGTACGCACCTGGGATCTGAACCTGCAAACCGTGGTTCAAAGCAGAGCACGCGCACTTAACCACTATGCCACGGGGCCGGCCTCTTAGTGTCTTTCTTATCACACCTATTTTACATTGCTCCTGATTCCAAGGGTGCCAGGATTTCACCTGGCACCTGGTAACTATAGTCACCTCCTGGTAGTAGCTCCTTCCTGGAACAGGCCTTCTATCTTAAATTCTTTTAGGCAGTTAGGTGGAAGGCCAAAGCTTTTTTCAGAGTCTTTTGTTTTTAAAAATAAGACAAAGAGACACATTTTGGGGTGGCCAATTCTGATCCCCCACAATAGTCTTAATAATGTTTAAGCTATTACCTAAAAACATGTATTGATGACTTTGGGAGCATTTATAGTTAAGGACTGTGGGAGCGAAGGACAATAACAAGTACTTCCTTGCTGATGGTTCAAGAGAGGTTTTGATAAACAGTAGGGTACCACTCTGAAACCTCAAATCTTGCAGGATGACCAAACTACTTGCCTTCTGTGAACTGTCACTATGTATGCATAGTTTGAAAAAGAAATTCAGGGGCCGGCCCAGTGGCGTAGCGGTTAAGTGCATGCTCTCCGCTGCAGCGGCCCAGGGTTCGGATCCCAGGCACGCACTGACACACCACTTGTCAAGCCATGTTGTGGCAGCGTCCCATATAAAGTGGAGGAAGATGGGCACGGATGTTAGCCCAGGGCTGATCTTCCTCACAAAAAAAAAAGAAAGAAAGAAAGAAATTCAGAGTTGGCTTAAATTTCTTAGTTTGTTTCCTACATACCATTTAACAACCCTAACAGCCAGAAAGCATTCTTTACTAAATGTCCAATTATTAGTATATATGTCACAGGAAAGCTATATATATGGTGCTTATA